AACTATGGAAAATTTAGAAAGGTAATGCAAAGAAAAGTAGTTTGTAATATCAACCTCAGGCCTCAGCGAGGAGGGTAAGATGACTACAAGTATGAAGCGAGCCTGAAGAGCGCTGGCAGTCCAAATGATAGACAATGACCCAGTTCTGCTGCAGGAGAAACCTACAATTCTTGCAGGCTTTGAGTCCAGTGTGGGGATTTATTGTGAAAGAACTCCTGCATGACAAGCTAGCTTTGGAGAAGAAGTTTACTCAGCATATCTTGGAGTGCAATAGCAGGGACACATCTTGACAGAGGGGCTATTGTTTCAGATTGAGTTACTCTTGAGATCAGCAAATGTGGAACAATTTCAGTTCTAGACCTCTGGGGACACGTGGCTGCAGTGACTAAGTGAGACAGCTATGAGAGAACATTGTTGGGGAGGAGGGTCAGTCACAGGTCCACAGAGGAGTTTAAGCAGTGGGGATCTCCTGTTGTGGAAGGCACAGCAGTCAGTGGCACCTCTCTGTGTGATGAGGAAAGAACAGGACTATGGTTTACTGAAGGGTTCAGATTTGAACAGTTCTTAGACTGAGGTTGGACAGTAGATTGCTTAGTTCTTCCAGCTCTTCCCCTCCAACACATAATTGAGTGGTCTGCTTACTTTTCCCACTCTTCGGTGTATTCAGGGATATGTCTCAGCTTGGACATCTAATATTTCATTGTTGAATATTTATCAGGTTGCTCTGTCTTTTTCTGACAGTGGGGTGTTGAGATCCCTCAATATAATTAGTGCTTATTTGATTTTTCATGTCTGTTAGTATTTGTTTTATATAAGTGTGTGCAATGGTATTTGTTGCCTATACATTTATGATTGTTACCTTTTCCTCTTGGATTCTTCCCTTTACAAAGATGTAGTGACATTCTTTGTCTCTTTTAATTATTCTTGGCTTGAAATTCACTTTGGCTATAAATAGAATAGCTACCACTGCTTTTTTCTAGGTTTCTGTCACATGACATATTGTTTTCCATCCTTTGACTTTCAGTTTATAAATTTGTTTCTGAATGAAATGTGTTTCTTGTATGCAGCATGTTGTTGGATCTTGCTTCTTGATCAATTCTGCACATCTGTGTCTTTTGATTGGTGAATTGAGACCATTACCACTGATGGTTATAACTGAAACATATTGAATTATTCTTGTCATGTTATTGTCCTGTTGTTGGTTCTCTTTTTTTTCCCCTCCCTCTGTTTGTTTCCCTTGCCTAGTGGATTCCTTCTGTTGGGGTTCATGGAGTTGTAGTCCTTGTTTTCTCTTCTAGAATGTCCTTCAAAACCCTTTGGAGTGCTGGTTTGGTGGCCATAAATTTCCTCAGGTGTTCTTTATCTTGGAAATCTTATTCCTCCGTCAGATTTGAAAGATAGTTTTGCAGGTTACATCAATCTGGGTTGGAGGTTGTTTTCCTTTAGAGCTTGAAATACTTCATGCCAAACTCTTCTTGACTTCAAGGTTTGTGCTAAGTCAGATGTGATTCTGATGGGCTTTCCTTTATATGTGATTTGTTTTTTTCCCTAACAGCTTTTAAGATTTTATTTTTGTGTTTAATTTTTGGAATCTTGACTATGATATGCCTGGCTGTAGAATTTTATGAGCATGGCTAATTGGAGTTCTATATGTCTCTCTTACCTGTACATCAAATTCTTTTTTTCCTCCCAGGGAAGTTTTCTGCCATGATATCTGTGAACAGTTTTTCAAAAATATCATTTGTTCTATCTCCTGGTTTTTAACTGGCTCCAGTCAATCTTAAGTTATTTTTCTTTGCCTCATCTAGCTACTGCCGGATTGACTTCTCATGGTCCCTTCTTATTCTTAGGAAATTTTTCTTTTCATGATTGTTAATGACAAGCCTGTATTCTGTATCTGAGATTCTGTCCTCACATTGGCTCAGCCTGCTGTGGATACTTTCAGTGGAATTTTTATTCTTCTGAACATCTGTTTGAATTTGCCTTATGGATTCTATTTCCTATCCTGAGTATTCATGGCTTCCATCATTTTCTTACACTTTTCCATTTTTTAAATCTGTATCTGTTCTAGAGTCACTAAGCATGGTTTTCACTGTGGACATCATCTCTGCAGTTAACTGAGAAATTATTTTTGATTTTATTTTTTCTAGAGCCTCATTCAATTGCTTTGTTCTTACCATTTCAGAAAGGCCATGTGGATGGTTTTTGGACTGTCCCACCTCACTGTCCTCTTGATTTGCCTTTGGTGAACTGGATGTCTAGGGTTGCATCTTGTTTGTCTTCTCATTTTCTTTTTAGTTTAATTCCTGGGTTGATAGTTGTAAATTGTCTGTGGTGAGTTGCTTTATTGTTAGTATTAGAACCCTTAGGAAATGACTGTTTATCTGAGGTGTCTTCCAGGTGTAGCTGGGTTTTGGATTTTGCATTTGTTGCAAAAACTGCCTCTTCAATTTGTTGGGAATGAGAAGTTGCTGCCCACTTGGCCCTACCCCTAGTTCTTTGGCATGATGTCACAGTATTTTCTATGACCCTTAATCAATCTCAGTCTTGGAATACTAGGAATAACAGCTAGTTTTAACAGTTATGTCACTTTTGGCAAAGGAGCACCATTAGCAGTAAAAATAGCATCAAACACAGCCTAGAAAATGACAAATTGAGATAATCATTAATTTTCCACCTTTAACTCTAGGAACTAGATGTGTAGTTATATAACAAAATCTACAACAAATCAGAAAATTATATGCAGTATATAAATCCTTAATATGTCAATTTTACCCTCAGGGGTTAAAATTTAAAAGGAGGGAGAAAATAGAGAGGTAGAAAAAGATGAAGAGATTAGAAGTAAGGCTGGAGGACTATGCGGGATCATATTTACTTTGGGAAACTTGTGCAAAAGACTGGAGGGACAGAGAGAAGGAAGGGATAACAGGAAGAACAGAACTACCACAAAGCGGCTGAAAGGCTGAAAACCAGTCACACTTCATAAAAACAAGATCAAACAATAACAGAGAAAAAACCGTAAAACAAAACCACACAAAACCACCACAACAAAAGAAATGAGAGAGAGAGAGAGAGGAGTCCACTTCCATGTTTGTCTCTGCTGTTACTAGTAGACAATGTGTGGAGACAGAGTCAACATCTGTGTTGATTTACCACAGCAAGCCAGCAGCAGCTTTATGACAGAGTAGGGGATAATCTCAGCAAGCCTGCACCTTTATTTCCCCTGACATTCAGGCTGCATTCTTGCCATGGGGGGCCAAGATCAGACTCATTCAGCCTGCAGCATTCAGTGCACATTCTGTGGTGGACCTGAACCCAGCTGGGAGCAGCTAGGTGGAGCCAGCAGCTGCTCTGAGTTCTGACTGAACAATACACTTTTGAAAGAGCACTGGGTGATTTAAGAAATCAGAGTGGAAACTTAAAAATTCATAGAATCAAGTGCAAATTGAAACACAACCTACCAGAAATTATGAGACACAGCAAAAGCAGTTATGAAAATGAATTTGATAGATATAAGTGGCTACATTAGAAGAACAGTGAAATCTCAAATAAATAACTTAATCATGTATATCAAGGATATAGAAAAACAAAAACAAGCCAAACCTAACTTAGTAAAAGGAAAAAAAAGATAAAAAACAGAACATAAGTGACATAGAGATTAAGAGAATAATAAAAATGATCAATGTAACATAGAGTTGATTCTTTGAAAAAATAAAATTGATAAAACCTAGATAAACTAACTAGATGAAAGAGAAGATCCAAATAAAATAAGAGACAAAGGGGAATGTTACAACTGGTAACATTAAAGTCCAGAGCATCATTATGTAGCAATGTAAAAGACTATATGCCAATAAATTAAAAAATTTAGAAGAAATGGGCAATTTGAAGACATAGATGGTGTACTAATATTGGACCAAGAGTTTTTAACTAGATCAATAACAAACAAGGAGATTAAAACAGTGACAAAAAGTTTACCAACAAAGAAAAGATCAGGACCAAATGTACTCACTGTTGAATTCTATCAGACTTTTAAAAAAGATCTAATAATAACGTGCCTCAAAATATTCTGTAAAACATTCTGCAAAGCCAGTATTACCCTGATATCAAAACCTGATAAAGATAATAACAACAAAAAGGAAAACTATAGACTAATATCCTTGATGAACATAAAAGCAAAATTGCACGCTAAAATACTTGCAAATCAGCCATACATTTAAAAAATCACATACCATGATCAAGTTGGTTTCATTCCATAAATGCAAGGTGGATTCAGCATACACAGATAAATGAAATTCACCACATAGACATTATTAAGGACAAAAACTGTATGATCAACATGTGCAGAAAAAGCCTTGGATAAAATTCAACATCCCTTCATAAGAAAAGCCCTGGAGGCATGTTGCTCATACCTCAATATAATAATCCCATAGCCAACACTACAGTGAAAGGGAGAAACTGAAAGTATTTTGTCTGAATTCAGGAAAGATACCAATATGCCACTCTGACCTACTGCTGTTCTATATAGTACTACTGTAAATTTTAGATAAAACAATCAGGAGTGAGAAAGAAATAAAAGAGACTCAAACAGGTTAGGAGAAAGATAAGTTATACTTGTTTTCACATGATGCGATTCTGTACAAAACTCTAAAGATTCCACCAAAATTCTCTTAGAACTGACACATTCAGCAAAGTAGCAGGATACAAAAGTTGGCATACAAAATTTGGTAGCTTCGCTACACACTGATAATGAACTCACCCTCAAAGTAGTAAAATAGTTTTTATTTTTCAATAACCTAAACAAAATGGCTAAGAATAAACCTAGCCAAGGAGATAAAGAGCTTCTATGCTGAAAATTTTGAAAAAGCATAGATGTTTCAAAGCAGGTAGATGAAAATGTTTTAATTAATGAAAGGTTAAAATGGCAAAATTAACAAAAGAATGGAAGTATAGTAAGAGATATCATTAAAACAGTGTAAAGAATTAAGTAATTTTGCACTTACCTAAAACAGCAGTCAATTCTTCCATCAACTGGCTTACTTGGATTTTCCCTTCAGCTATAAGACAAGGCAAAATCAAACTTAGAAAAAGCATAGAACATTACTTCAATTATGAGGTCTAGCATAAATGAAATTATCATTTATTTTGACCTTTTCAAATTCACAATTCTTAACATTTGATGGAGAAATCCTTAAGTGCAATAAGGATTAAGACTGCACATACCATAGTCTGTCTGAGAGAAAATGTTTTCTCAAGTCTTTCGAAGGCATTGCTTTTAATCCCATGTTTCTCTTGGAGCAGCTGCTAACACATACCTGTATATATTTAAGATCACTGTTTATGGCATTATGTTATTTTCTGTCATTGGAGACTGATGATGCACGAAGGAGAAAAGACGCAATGAAGAACATAATGCGTGTTACTAAAGATTTTTATTGCTCCTTAAGGAGAAAGTGCCACGTAGGGAGCAGAAAGGTGCTGTGAGAGAGGCTCGGTGGAGCCAGCCTAGTCCCATTTAATGGTTAGCAGCTTGGACTCTTGACTGCTTGTCTGGGGTACAGCAGTGAAGAAAAGATAAATACCCTAGATCTGTGAAGCTCATATTAATTTGCTTTCTGCACAACTGTATAACTATGCCTGAAAGAGAGACTAGTACATAGTCAGGGATTCAAAAAGTATATGTTCTATAGGAAATCTGTACTGATCAATATAAGTACCAATAAATATCAAGCATAAATTAATTAAATGATATATTTCATGAAATATATCTACCATACGGTTAGACTCAATACTTTTCAGGCATAAGAGGTCCTTGAAGGGTACTAAATTGAGGAATAACAAGGTCAGATTTTCACCTTTGCTACAACATCCTTGCTAGTTTATGTAGAATGAATTAAAGGCAACAACATGGCTGTTACATCAATCAGGAGGCTTTTTAATGTAGTCTAGGCCAAGAGTGATGAAAGTTTAAAGATAAGTAGCAAAGACACAGAGAGATTGGAAGTATTTTTAATTTTTAAATTTATTTGAAAACCATATTAGTACAGGTGTCCAGTACCTGATTATATTCATCTTAGGGAGTCAATATATGAACTTAATTAATCTTCTTCTTGTCTTTCCCCTCATCTTCCCCTCCCTCTCTCTCTAGATCCCCTACCCATGTGCAAAGGATGTATCTCCCTGTTTCCTATTGTCTTTTTTAAAAAATTATTTATACTTTGTGGTTTTCATATGCCATACTTAAGCTTGTATGTCTGATTTATTTATTCTAGGTCTCCTCTGGTTCCATATAAACCTTAAGTTAGTTTTTTCTAGTTCTGTCAGAAACACTGTTGACATTTTGATTGGGACTGCATTAAATTTACATATCAGTTATGCAAGGATGGCCATTTTGATGATAATAGTACTGCCTAACCAGGAATATGGGATATCTTTTCCATTTTCTGATGTCCTCTTTGATCTTTTCTGAGCACTATCGTTTTCATTATAGAGGTCTTTCACTTCCTTTGTTAGGTGAATTCCTAAGTATTTAATTTTTCCTCAAGCTGTTGTGAATGGTACTGCTTTCCTAATTCTTTCTTGGCGAGTCCTTTGTTGGTGTACAGGAACGCTATTGTTTATTCTGCGTTAATGTTGTGTCCTAGAACATTGCTGAATTTATCAGTTCTAAGAGTCTTTAGGTTGCATTATTTGTCTCATCTATGTAAAAGATCATGCCATCTGTGACTAAGGACAGTGTGAGTTCTTCCTTTCTTACATGTAGTCCTTTTGAAGCTTTCTCTTGCTTCTGAGTTGGTGGCACATGCAGTTCGCTGTGTACCCTCTCTTAGCCTAGGGTGAGGTTTCCCCTTGACACTGGGTGGTGCGTGGTGCGTGGTGCGTGGTGCGTGGTGGGTGGTGCGTGGTGCGTGGTGGGTGGTGCGTGGTGCGTGGTGCGTGGTGCGTGGTGGGTGGCGGGTGGTGGATAGGATAGTGCAGAGACACAGTGTTACCCGGGGTGTGGGAGCATGATGGGGAAGGGATTGTCTGTTTTTGTGTTGCTGGCTTTCTCTCTCTCTCTCTAGTTGTAATGCGCAGTTTCCCTCAGGCTGCCTGTGGGGTTTCCTCTTCCAGGGAGAGACAGCACGTAGGAGTCTGTTTGGAAGTCTGGTCACTGCAGTACTGTCTCCTTCCTGCACGCTGTCCCACCCATTGGCATATCGCTGGTTAAAGGGTGTGGGTGGATGTGAAGACAAGCAGGGCCCCCACTCCCCTTTCAACAACTCACATATTTGGTTCAATCTAAAGAATTCATCTCTCAGGTTTTCTGTATCTGGGTGTGGTTCCTTCCCCTGTCTCAAATACCTACATTATTAAGTGTCTAGCCTCTGAGCTTTTTCAATGCATTTCCTTCTCTGATCAGCCATGTTGGAAATGTAAATGAGGGGGATGAACAGCCCAAGATAAGGTGGATTACTGTCGAGTAACTGTGGGTGGATAATGAGGGCACAGAAGCAGAAAAAATTCAGGAGTAAGGAATAAATGAGTTTACTTTTTGTATACTATATCTGCATTTCTAATAAAAAATCTGTGTGTTAACAATAATTTTAGATATGGAGTACCTCTTCATTGATCTCCATTTGACCAACCTAATGGTCTGAAATTTATTTTTCATTCCTTTCATAAATTCCTACATTCAAACTAATGCTGATGGCATGCTAAACTTTCATAGCTAGCAAGGTACACATTTAGTAAGTTAGTATATTTGTGGTTTTATAAGTTGAATTGTTTCCAGACTTGTTAATAATTCTACTTTTAGTAAATTGATTATTTTAATTATTATTTAAATTAAAATCTATAAATGGAAGAAGGAGTTTCCTCATAAAAACAAATGCAAACAATTTAGAAGTTTAGTAAAGGTAAATTGCTAAAAAAAGTTCTTTTGAATTTGGCATGGATAAGATAATTATAAAAAGATCAAAGAAATAATTAAAATCTAGACAGATTCTAACTGAAGTTTCTGGTCAACTTTTTAAAAAGCACTTTGCTTCTTTTATAGAAACAACTTGGGAGTGTAGATGATAAATAAGTATTTTATGTTAAAAAATCTGAAGAGCTTACCTACGTTAAATAAAAAGTGGTCTTGGCCCTATTTTTTCATCAAAGTAAAATATTTAAGTATACATATATAATTTAATGATTTTTATGATTTCTTACTTTAACTGAAATGTTAGATTATCTGATCAACTATTTGTCACAGTCATGCTAGATGAAAGAATTTTATTGACCCAAACTGAAACTCTTGCAGTAAGTTTAGGTTTGAGATAAAAGATTTGAAACTGTAAACATACTGTGTACAGGTAAGTGAACCTATGCCAGGGAAACACAGCTGTGGGAAGAACAGCTGAGAGCAGAATGCGGCACTACTATCATTGAAGATTTTTTCTCCAAATATTTCAATTGTAAGCCACAGTAAATACTCTGAACACATCATAACACACATATATACACATACTTCCCCTACACAACACATACCCCTACCTGATCATAAGTTTTCACAAACCAAAATTTAGCTTTATTCTAAGACATATGTTCTAATGTTTTCTAGTCTGTTATATACTATTCCATTATAAATGCTTAATCTACTAGTTTGAGAGAGGAGGGGAAATCCCTTTTAAAAACAAGTCTTCCTTACACATATGGGTCTGATTTATTTCACTTATAAGTATGGTTTAGAGTTGTATCCTTTTACGTATAAGGGTCCCCAGTTTATCATTCTTTATGGCTGAGTAGCATTCCATTGTATAAAAAAATACATCTTTTTTTACCCATGCCTCTCTTGATGGGCATCTAGATTGTTTCCAAGATTTAGCTATTACAAATTGTGTGAGAAACTGAATGAGTAAATAAGATCTGAAATGTACAATAGACATGGTGAATTGGGAAGAAACTGCTCAAAAGGAAAGAACAACTGGGATGGGGGAAAGGAGAAAAGAAGGAAGGGGAAAAATATATGTATGTGTGTATATATATATATACATATATATGTGAGAGCTAAAATGATTGTACTACTAATTTATATTAGTTTATTGAAAGCAACATTTAATGCTTGTTTGATCAATTTTACATGCCTATATCTGGTAATCTGAGCAACTACTTTGAAGATAACAATATGCAATATAACAACCATTGTTAGTTTCTGATCATCTTGTTTTGAAATTCTGTATAGTTTTTATTCTATTTTGAAACTTGGTTTCACAGTTATGTTTCTTTTTTCTTTTTAAAATTAAAAAAAGCCTTAGGAAAGGCAGAGCAAAAGATCATTCTGGACAGTATAAATTTATAGTGCCTGAGAAAACCAGACTTGTAATAGAGATATACATACATTATTAAAGCCACAACATTCAAGTGAGAAAAAGATGAGTGTACGTGAATTTTTCTCATAGGATGATGCAGTCAGCTAAGTAAGAGTATCTTTTACTAGAGTGGTGAATGTGGGAACTAGTCACTTTGGGAGAAGTAGATGTGAATGATTTCTCCCTTCCCTATAAACCCTCTTTTCTGTTTTGATTTCTACTTCCTAACCATTCTCTGGCTTAACAGAGTGTTGTCTATATTGTATGAATTGCTTAGAATCCACAGGGGAGGAAACTAGATGAATGAAAATTGAAAGGTTTTTTTCCTTTAAACTCTAAACTTTGGAAAAATCTTATATTGGAAACAACCCTACAGAGGGGAGTATTCTTTAAGAAGGGTGAAAAGCTAGAGCTAAAGTTGATCGCTATTCTGCAAAAGTTATTTTTGTTGGCTGTTCTTGCCAATTACGTCTCTGCTTTTGTCTGAAATTGTTATATGACAAGACATCATTCTTCACTGATCTGTGGTGACGGCCTTGTTTTCAAGTCTAAAAAAATAAGTACCCTGTAGGAAGTATGGGAATAATGATAGTGCTCACCATCATCTGACAGTCTATTTGTTAGATCCATGAATTCTTGTTCTGTGATTGTGATCCCCATGTTTTCTAAAAAAGTGTCCAGCTGATCGACATCAACACTGTCTCCTAAGTAAGAAATAGGAAAGGAATATAGTACAGTGGAATGATTCTACAATTGGACTATGCATTCATGCTGCTGTATTACTTCTCCTGTTCACTGATGAACATATGTTTGTTACAATGAAAACATTTGAGAAATATAATTACTACAATTAAGAGATTCACTTCTAATTACTATTATTATTATTATTTTGGAACATACACCCAGACACCAGTCTTGTCCAATAAATAAAACCGGTAAGAGAATAGAATAAATTGCCTTAAACCTTATGTTGGAAACGAGCCTACAGAGAAGAGTAATCTTTAAGAAGCATGAACAGCTAGAGCTAAAGTTGATTGCTGTTCTGCAGAATTTATTCTTTTGCCTGTTCTTGTAAATCGTGTCTCAGCTTTTGTCTGAAATTGCTTTTTGACTGATGTTATCCTTCGTCTTTTGCTTTCTAGTCTAATTTTTTTCACCTTTCAGGCCAAGTGGGGAAAAATTCAAGAAAGTCCAACACTTTCTGCCAAATCACAGTGCACAAAATTACTTGGTAAACTGCGTGTCTATTAAAAGAGCACAAATAAGGACTCAGTACTATAAGGAAAGGGCATTCCTATTTTAAGCACACATAAAAGTTAAAGATGAAGCCTTTTCAATTTGCTTGTTACTCACGGTTGAAAGACGTTATGCCCTTCATCAACCTTTTCTGATATACTTCTTCATTGGCTATAAAAAAAATGGGACATTTTGGAAATAGAGTTAAAAGATAGTACACATCTCTTAATTTCAGAAAAAAGAATTTAAAAATCCTTGTCTAAAGAACATATCAAATGCAAAGAGACAATTCATGGACCAAAATATTCACCCTCAGCGGTACATGCATGAAACTCAATTCATAATAACGAGATATTTGCCTTCCACATTTTTTCTGTACAGGGAAAATAACATTCTCAACTACTGCTTTGAGGCTTCAAATGACAATTTTTGTAGGAGAAAATTTGATAAATAAAACATCTTTCATTTTTTACTTGACCTCAGCCAAAAGGCCAAGAAGCAATGTCTTCATTCTTTACTTAAAAGAATTTAATCTCATGAAATTTTTGGATGTTTGGAAGTATTTATCTACAAGGTTGCAAACTAATAAAAAAGACATACAAGGTATGACAAAAAATACATTAAGAGTTTAAATTTTTAAAGAATTTACCACAGTGAGAGACAACGGTGCCAGTAATGACCATCAAAATAACTTCTCCTAGCTTCAAACACACTTACCCTGTTACTCTTTCTTGCCACGTTCTGAAGCAGTTTGGAAGTCCTCTTTCATGTGTTTAGTTATGCTGTTGTGGCAACCTCACTGTCTTGAACCAATTCAAAATGTTTACCTTGTGTGAGGCAGATCCAGAAGTCAAATAGTGCTAGAGCTGGTGATAAAGGCTAAGGACATGCCACAGTGTTTTTATGAGCTTGTCTTTCTGTTGGATGGCACATCATTCACTGTGTTTTTGATCATACCTTATAAAGATATCCAAAAAGAGACCTTCTAGAACTGCTTCAGAGACTGACAAGAATGATAGGATAAGAGTTCCTGAAGGGCAGAGTATTTTGAGGAGGATAAATAGAAATATACCTTAATTGTAATAATTTTAAAAATTTAAATGCAAATGATATTTACTGATAAGCCCTTGTATATTCCTAGATAGAAACCTAGAACTATACATCTCATGTTTTTGGCAGCTATGGCTTTGAGGTAGGAATATAGATTTTTTTTTGTTTAGCTTCTTTATCAAGGTTTTCTATAATGAAAACACATTAAAATGTGAAGAGATAGGAATTATAAATAATATCTGCTTAGCTATAATTATTTATCCATATGATATCTTAAAAGCACTAAAAGGGAAAACTAACAGTGGTTATGTTTGGGTTATGGAAGTAAAAGTGTTTTTTATTTTCCTGATTTTTTGTTATATTTCATCTAATAATGAAGTTAGGAAATGTAGCCTTTTTTTCAATATACAAAATTACCCACTTGTTTGTAAACTATTCTATTCTGCACAAACACACAATTAATTAGTTTCCTTTTATTGTCTCTCTACCCCTGCCTGTTTTTCTCTTAATTTTTTTGTTCTTTCTATTTTAAAATCTACTTTTAGAAATCCAGTTGATTAGCAACCTGAAAGTGTGAGTAATGAATTTGACTTTGATAGCAACCTACAGCTGAAAAGTTTGATGATCTTTTAATTAAAATCTAAGTGATGAAACTTTTCTTTGTAATAGCTTTAGCTTTTAACAGCTTGAAAATATTTTTAGTTTGTTTTGAAAATGTTTACACAGGCACAAAATCAGATGGCATCTGTAAGACTTACCATTATCTGGCAGTGGCTTCAACTCCAAGTGTTCACTAGGTGTGAGCTTAATTCCCAAGTTTCTCAAGATGCTTTCCAGTTGATTTGGATCAACTTTGTCTCCTTTGAAAGAAATAAAGGGTTTCTAACATATGGAAATTTTAGGACATTATAATGATCTGAAATTAAAAGCTAGCACATATAATGGCAACCTTAGTTTCATATTCTCACATACTCTCTAGTTTTTAAGGATGAATGAGACAGAATGTATTGCCTGATTCTTCATAAAAAGGGAGCATGGGCTCCAAGCGGAAAAACATCCTATCATTGAAGAAAATGAACTGTACAATTAGCTAGTAAGTTATGGTTACCTATCCTTTTTTAAAAAATGCTATGTGATTCTTATTTGAAGCAAACATACAGACTTAATCCTTTTAAAGTTATTTGCTATGTGTACCTATATTTTGACTATCAGAAGTTAATTAAAAGTTCACAAAAACCTGGAGGTAAAGAAAATGAATGAAATTGGGTGAAGTGGAGAGTACTGTATACTTTTGTCAAAAGAGAAAAAAACACCAATTACTATTGAGAGACTATAGAGCCAGTGTTTCCAGATTTTACAACTCATGGGTATAATTTGGATTCATCTCATGGATAGTCAATTTGTGATCCCTGATTAAAACACTAGTTAAGATCAGCATATTGGCCTAGGGATGGTGGCATCAGCATGTGGAGTGTTAAGTCCACACTCTGCCCTTCCTCCATTGTCCCCGGGGCAGCAATGCTGGCAAGTGGAGGGTAGATCCATGCTCTGTGCTTCCTTCATTGCCCTGGGATAGCTTGCCAGTGAGAGGAATACAGCTAGCAACAGGAAAAAAGATATCTTAAAAATCACAAGATACCATGAAAAGTTAATCCAACAGCCATAGGATGAAGCAAGGAAGAAAAGCATAAGACTGATTGGAATCAGTAAAAAAGCTGGAGATAGCATAAATGCCATTAAAAATTTCTTCACAGAAATAATGGCAAAATACTTCCCAAACATGGATAAAAAAGTTGACATACAAATACATGAAGCATACACAACTCCAAATAGCCACAACCAAAATAAATCCACCCCAAGGCATATAATAATCAAGATTCTATCAGACCTGCATGTGTAAGCAACAGATTTTCTTACTAGTGTAAGAACCTGAAAGAGTGAATAAAAATTAAGAGGTATGATAGACATTGTGAAACAAAAGGAAAATACTCAAAAGTAAAGGGCAACTGGGGTGTGTGAAAAGAGAAGGGAAAGAAGGGGAAATTAGGGGCTGGGGATTTAGCTCAGCGGCAAACGCGCCTGCCTGGCAAGCGCAAGGTCGTGAGTTTGGTTCCCGGTACCGGAGAAAAACCAAAAAAAA